GTATTAGGGTGATATTGGCTTCATAGAATGAGCTTGGAAGTGTTCCTTCCTCTTGAATTTTTTGGAATAGCCTGAGGAGGATAGGTTTTAGTTCTTCCTTGAATGTTTTGGTAAAACTCCCCTGTGAAGCCGTCTGGCCATGGGCTTTTGTTTGCTGGAAGCTTTTTGATGACTGCTTCAATTTCTTCCATAGTTATCAGCCTATTCAGGTTTTTAGATTCTTCCTGATTGAGTTTTGGAAGGTTGTATTTTTCTAGGAATGTGTCCATTTCCTCCAGGTTGTCTAGCTTGTTGGAGTATATTTTTTCATAGTATTTTTTTAATTGATTTTTTTACAGAGAGGAAGGGAGAAAGAGAAGGATAGAGAGTTCGAAACATCGATGGGAGAGAAACATCGATTCAGCTGCCTCCTGCACACCCTCCACTGGGGATGTGCCCACAACCAAGGTACATGCCCTTGAGTGGAACTGAACCCAGGACCCTTCAGTCCACAGGCCGACGCTCTATTCTCTGAGCAAAACCAGTCAGGGCATTCAATTTTTTAACAATACTTTGTATTTCTGTAGGGTCTGTTGTTATTTCACCTCTTTCATGTCTGATTTTGTTTATTTGGGTCTTCTCTCTCTCTTTTTCTATGTGAGCCTGGCTAGAGGTTTATCAATCTCTTTTATCCTTTCAAAGAACCAGCTCTTGGTTACATTGATCTTTCGTATCATCTTTTTGGTTTCTATGTCATTTATTTCTGCTCTGACCTTTATTATTTCCTTCCTTCTGGATACTGTGGGCTTTTCTTGTTGCTCTCTTTTGAATTTTTTAAGTTGCAAGGTTAGATAATTCATTACAAGTTTTTCTTGTTTTTTTGAGGTAGGCCTGTAATGCTATGCAGTTCCTTCTCAGGACTGCTTTCACTGTGTCCCATAGGTTTTGAATTATTGTGTTTTCATTGTCATTTGTCTCAAGGATTTTTTTTTATTTCTTCTTTGGTAACCCAATCATTGTTTAATAGCATGTTATTTAGCTTCCAAGTGTTTGATTTTTTCATTATTTTTATTGTAGTTTATTTCTAATTTTATGCCATTATTATCTGATAAGATGCTTGTTATGATTTCTATCCTCTTGAATTTGAAGAAACTTTGCCTGTGTGTGTGTTGAATTCCCCTACTGATTGTATTATTGTCGATCACTCCCTTGATATCTTCCAGGAGTTATTTTATGTATTTGGGTGCCCCTGTATTGGGTGCAAATATGTTTAGCAAAGTTATATCTTCTTGTTGAATTGTTCCCTTTAGTATTATGTAGTGGCCTTCCTTATTTCTTGTTATGGCCTTTACTTTGAGGTCTATTTTGTCAGATATAAGTATTGCTACCCCAGCCTTTTTCTCATTTCCATTTGCCTGAAAAAAATTTTTCCATCCCTTCACTCTCAGACTGTGTGAATCCTTTGTTCTGAGGTGGGTCTCTCGCAGACAGCAAATATATGGTTCATATTTTCTTATCTACTCAGCTACCCTATGTCTTTTGATTGAAACATTTAATCCATTTGCATTTAATGTTATTATTGATAAGTGCTTGTTTGTCATCGTTTTTATTCTTAATGTTTGTGTTTCTTCTTGCTATTCTGTTTCTTCTTTTTACAGCAGTCTCTTTAGCATTTCTTGTGTTGCTGGCTTGATGGTAATAAACTCTCTTAACCCTTTTTTGTATGTGGAGCTTCTGATTCCACCTTCAATTTTGAATGATAGCCTTGCTGGGTATAGTATTCTTGGGTTCAGTCCCTTGCTTTGCATCATTTTGTATATTTCATTCCACTTCCTTCTGGTCTGGTATGTTTCTGTTGAGAAATAAGTTGATATTGTAATAAGAGATCCCTTGTAGGTAACTTTCTGTCTTTCTCTGGCAGTCTTTAAGATTCTTACTTTGTCTTTGGTGTTCGCCAATTTAATTATGATGCGTCTTGGTGTCAGTCTTTTGGTGTTCATCTTGTTTGGAACTCTATGTGCTTCTTGGACTTGCATAGCTTTTTTCTTGCCAATATCAGGGAAATTTTCTGTCATTATTTCATTCATACAGATTTTCTATTCCTTGCTTCTCTTCCTCTCCTTCTGGTATCCCTATTATGCAAATGATGTTTCTTTTTGTGTTGTCCCAAAGCTCTCTTAGGATCTTCTCTTTTTAAATTTTCTTTCCAGTTGTTGCTATGTTTATGTGTTTTTTCCTACCTTGTCTTCTAATTCACTGATGTGTTCCTCAGCCCCTTCTAGTCTTCCTTTTAAGCCTTCCATTGTGTTCTTTAGTGCAGCTATGTCATTCTTCATTTCCTCTTGGTTCCTTTTCATGTTGGTGACATTGTCATTCAGCTCCTTATAATTCTCATTGAGTTTTGTGTATTTCTCATTGAGTTGTGTGCATTTGTCATCTAGCCATTTGAGCATCCTTATAACCATTACTCTGAATTCTTTCTCTAATATGTTACTAGCCTCAATTTCATTTAACTCCCCTTCTGGTGATTCCTCTTTTTCTTTCCTTTGGGGATTGCTTTTTTGTCTTCCCATGTTTTGCTGTAATGTTTTAATTGTAGATCCATTTGCTTTGCTACCCAGGTTCTTTTGAGGATGGTGTTACTGGTGTGATGTCTCAAGTCTCCTGGGCTTAATAATCTAGCATAGCTCCCTATTTGAGCTATTTGGGCTCTCTTGATGTAGGCTTGCGAGCTGGAAAGGCACAACTGTGGTGTCTAGAAGTCAGCAGCCATGGAAGGGGAGTCCCAATTTTGTCGTCTTGTGCCCTTGGTTGAAATCATGCGTGCCCAGCAGGGATTCACAGTAGCACCCAGGAAACATCTGTTGGGGTGGTGGGGCTCAGGACGCCTGCACTCTGGAAAGGCATGGCTATGATGTCCAGAGTTCTATAGTTTTGGGGTGGGCAGCCTCCAGTGGCAACTCACAGGGGCACCCATAGTGCGTTTTCCAGCAGCGTATACTGACACACTCTGAAGGGCCCAGACATTGAAGCCACGGGATTGCAGTGTCTGTGGGCAGATATCCCAGAAGAGGGAATTCAGCATTTCTTCAGCCCAGCAGTGTTCTCCTGTTTATATAAGTTTGTGCCCAGCAAGGGCTCAGAGCAGCACCCAAGAGCTGCTGTGGGCTTGGGAGGCCTGCATGCCAGAGAAGCGTGTGCCTGTAGTGTTTAGAGTTCTGCAGCTGTGTGGTGGGAAGTCTCAGGTTTTTGCTGCTGCACCTGTGGTGGATAGGTGCACGCTCCCAGGGGCACCCGTGGTGCCTTTGCCAGCATGGCAGTGCACTGAAGCACTCTGAAGGGCCCTGGCACTGAAGCCGCAAAATCGAGGCATCTGTGGACAGGTGTTCAGGATGAGTGAATTCAGAATTTCTACGGCCCAGGGAGTGCGTCCCTGTTTGTCCAAGATCACACCCAGCCAGGGCTCACAGCAGCTCCCCAGAACGCCCTGTGGGTAGATGGGCTCAGGGTGCCTGCTTGTTGGAAATGTGCGACTGTGGCAGTGCCTCTGCCCGTGCAGAGCTCAGACGCACTCTGAGGGGCCCTGGCGCTGAAGTTGCGCAGCTGGGTTGTCTGTGGGTAGTTATTCAATAAGAAAGAATTCAGAATTTCTATTGTGGGGCAGTGCGTCCATGTTTGTACAAAATAACACCCAGCGGGGGCTCACAGTAGCTCCCAGAAGCTGCCTATGGAGTGGTGTGCCCTGGAAGGCTGCGTGCTAGAAACACGCAAATGTTGGAAACTTGGGTATGTGGCTTCTGGAGGTCTGCCGCTGGGGCGGGGGGAAGTTGCACTTACTGCTGTGGGAGTGGTGCACCTTTGGAGGTGAAGGTCCCAGGGTCCACAGGTCTGCGGGTGAGGCAGCAAGATTTTGGCTGAAGTGGCTGATGGGCCATGGGCAGTGTCCAAGGCCTGTCTAGGGGGTTGTGATGATGAGTTCCTAGAAGAGGCCACCCCCCCTTCAAGATGGTGTGGGATCCACGCCCAAGTCTCACAGTCTGGGGAGTGCCCGCGGCGGTGATAGTCTCTCCCTGTCCCAGAGAGCCTGTTCTGCCACCCCCTGCTACTCCTGACGGATTTAACTGTCCCTCACTCACACACGCACCACACACATCCACACACTCTCCTTTTATCCCCTCACTCACTCACTTCCTATCCCTCACCTCTTTCCTGACAGTCGCCATCTTTTTTCTACTCCCAAAAGTTGTAAGTTCTTATCAGAGGTGGCCAAATGTAGGTTGACAGTCATTTGTATGGAAAATAACACAATAATTAATAAATAATAAATTAAACTCTGTTTTGTATACTCACAACTGTAAACCCACTTTTGCACAATCCTATAGTATATATAGTAATAATGTGCAGACTGGAAGTTACTATCTTTGTAAAGACTAGAGCTGTTAATGAGGCATGACTGGCATGAATTAGTAATCAGAAAATTTCCCAGGTTTCCAGTCTGCTTCCCAATTGCCAACTATTGAAGAAACTAAAAATGAGAGGACTGGCAAAGAAGAAATTTAATTTCTATGTTTGCATTCTCTGTGTGACAAAGCAGAGTACAAATGGGAAGGGTGGTTAGAACTGAGACAGCAAATTAAAAACACACATTAGCTGTACTTTTGCTCAGGAAATACAAAGACACTAGTTCCATGAAAGTTAAACACTATTTAAAATCATGAAAGATAGTGATATTCTAGGAATTAGGATATTTTGATAGCTGTTTAATGGCCAATATTTTATGATCCCAAATAATAAAAATTCACAGGTGTTATGTCAATGATCTGTGACACATTCTGTAACATTTCTCCTGTAACAGCCAGGAGACTAAAATTTAGTACATGGGAAACTGGGCTTCTTTTAAGAAATTGTAAATTGTTGCTTTTCGTTCTAAAATGCAGTGGAACATTTTGCTGTTCTTCCTTAGATGAAATTGGAACATGTTGCTCTTCTTCCTTAGGTAAGGTCTTGACATTTTGCTCTTTTTACTCATGTGAAGGTGCCTCATTCTGCTCTTCACTCTTATCTGTTCTTCTGCGTGTCAGAAAACCCAAAATTAACAAGCATAATAAAAGAATAAAATGAATCAACCAAAGTGGTCTCAGGTTATTGGCCTTTTGACTCTCTGTTCTCCCAGGAGGTGGGCCACTATCTATACTACCTCCATGACCTCTTTCCAGGCAGAAGGGAGGCTCCCACTGCGAGTTGCAATGGCAGTGCTGTCTGCTGTTGCAGACTCCTTTCAGATTGCAGGTCTCAGGTGAACAACCAGTTACCAGAAGTGACCTATGGACACACTTCCTTTGGATGCAGACACGTTCTTCCCCACACTCTGTCCCATCTTTCACATCACCAATGTCAGGTAGGGTCATCCCGAAGTGGTAGTCGGTACCCCAGCAGGTGGCGCCATTGAAGTGAGTCCAGTGCACAGGACAAT